ACAATTGCTGCTTTTAAAGGTCGCACCATACATACATACCACAGGTAAACACTTAATGTACCTTCTCCCTCCAACTCTGAAGGAAAATGGCAAAAAGAAGAAAGAGAGCCAAGAATGATGAATAGAGAAAAAAAGGATAAAATACACTGCTGCTTTCCTATTAGATTAACGAACACGACTCTTCTATCCCATGTTGTAACATGTACTATGCAGTGAAGGTGCTGGTGGTGGACATGCTCCGGATATCATCAAAGTTTGTGGTGTAAAGAATGTCATTCCCTCATCAACCAATCCCACACGTCCATTCACTTTGAATACTGTGGACGAGCACCTTGACATGCTGGTAACAAAAGCTTATACTAGGGTGAAGTTTCTATGCTCCTGAACAATATATTGACCTATAGCTCTACATGCAGATGGTATGCCATCATCTTAACAAGGACATCCGAGAGGATGTAGCTTTTGCTGAATCGCGGATTCGAGCTGAAACAATTGCTGCAGAAGACATTTTGCATGATATGGGAGCAATTAGCATTATATCTTCTGATTCACAAGCCATGGGTCGAATTGGAGAGGTTTTCAGTAGTCTAATTTCCAATTAATTTTTGGATTGAGAAACATCACATTGCAGGCAAACTCAACCAATTATTAGTTTTCTCACAATATTTTCTGTTAAGAGCTGGTAAACAGAATGTCTGGTGTTTGTATAATCACATCAGCATAATGCAGTAAGCAGCAAGTACATCAACGTTCTTAACCTACCTACCACAACCCAACGTGTTATATATGTTGCTAGAATATTAAGTGAATATGTATCTAGATTCATGAACCCCACTCCAGATTTCTTGTGATCTGTATGAAGCTTCCAATGGGAGACCCAGGTATGTAGTGGGGAAGGATCCCACACTGCAGCACATTATATCAGATAGCTCTTCCATGAATTGTGCTTTTTGACATGTTCACGTGTGAACCTGATATGGCTTCAATTATCATAAGTGTGACGTTCAGGCACATTACTCGTGATCTCTCAGCCGCACAGAATATATGGAGAACCTCTTGTACATTGTGAATCAAGTCGATAAGCTTCTTTTTATTTTACATTATCTCAGAGCTAGAACCAATTTTACCCAATGTTGACCCCCATATTATATTGTCCACGCTCCAGATGTCTGGTCTGGTCCTGAGCGTGAGAGGGGTGAAGTGTACCATATTGGTGGAGGAAATAGTTTGTTATCTGCTATATGATTTTGAAAAATCCTCAGCTCTTGAGCTAATTTTTGGGATTGAGTTAGGCCTAAAATCCCTTTTTTTATTATGGTATCAGAGCACGTAGAGGTCCTAGGTTAGAGTCTCCCTGACACCACTATCAAAAAGAATTTCTATGTGCTTTGATCATTCAAAAGAATCAAAACGCAAGGGGGCATGTTATAGACATATCTAAGTAAATAAAATTGTGTTTTCTCTAACAGCTTAAGCTTTTAGATGAGATGATCACACACTTCTGTTGGGTTTATGTTATAATATGTCTCCTGCTATTACGGTTAGGATTTTCCAGAAAAGCAAAATATATTCTTTCTTTGTTGTTAGTTGATAATAAGCTCATGTCACGATTAAGGCGAAAGTGCATATTAAGAAAACTTTTTACCAATCTCCCTTACAATCCCTTGTATTGGAACCTAATTAAGCTGAATAAAAATAATAGAGAACCAGAGGGATCCATCCAATTATATAGTATAATTTATTTCTTTTCTGGCATTTTGTTATTTCTTGAAGGTGGAATATTGAAAAAGAAGGTAACCGAGTAGGTTATATCCTAGACTGAACGCCCTGTAGCTGCCAGAATTTGCCAGGAAACTGTGATTAATTGTCCTTGTGCTAGGACCATACTAGCAGCAAAGTTAGTTTGGTCTGAAGGAGAGGAAGCACCATATTGATGTCTCCGTCCAGCTCTCCTAAACTATTTTCTTTAGTTTGCCACCTCATAACACTTGCAGAGACTCAAACTGCTTGTTTTCTCCTTTGTAACTTGTGTGTCATCCTCTAAAATAACTTGAGTGTCACCCTCTTAAAAGTTCAAGGGAGCTTCAGAAGTATATGATAAAGTTTAACTCTGTCGTTATCAAGGGATATGTGTTTCTGCTATGAGGTGTAAAAATTGGACAGGGGATTGAACTTGGCAGTAGGGAAATTTCTGTTGTTTAGCCAATATGAAAATTGCAATTAACTGAGTAGGCTCAGGTCCTTCTGTTAAGCTTGTAATCAGCTACCTGCTGTGAGTTAGCACTGAATGTGATTAAGATGAATATATGTTTTACACTTTCTACAAAACTTGGCTGTATGATATATATATTGGTCAGATACTTCTCTTACCAGGTGATTAGTAGAACATGGCAGACTGCCCACAAGATGAAGTCATTTAGAGGACCATTGGACATTGATGGGCCAGACAATGACAATTTCCGGATCAAACGATACGTCGCAAAATACACTATAAATCCTGCAATTGCTAATGGAATCTCTCAATATGTCGGATCAGTTGAGGTCTGTCTTTATCATCACTGTTAATCTCATGAGTTTGTTAAACTGATTACTGACTGTTTTCCTTCGTGCCCCTCAATACTAAATTCTATAGTTCTCTAGAGATACTTTTGTGATGTTATGAATTGGAAATTTTTCTTTTGTTACAGTTTTTCATTACTTCCTTTTTAGGGGGTGAGGTGCTTATGATATATGGACTCTTCGTTTACCTAGATGTGTTGGACGTCTATGACAAGGGTATGGATACTTTGTGTAAGTCCTTCAAAATACACTAAAACACCTGTAAAACTTTGGACGTGACCATGTCAGATCCATATCCAGACCTAATATCCGAGGCTACATAACATTTGGGTTCTTTTTTTGTTTGGGG